ACCCCATACAGTCCATGGAATTCTCCAGGCCAGAATACTGGAGTGGGTAGCCTTTCCCTTCTCCAGGGGATTGTCCCAACTCAGGGATCAAACCCAGGTCTCCCGCATTGCAGAAAGACTCTTTACCAGCTGAGCCACAAGGGAAGCCCTCCTATACTTGAGTATATCAATTCATTACTTTCTATTACAGGGAAGTATTCCATTTGTATCCATTCATCTACTTATGAACATTTGGACTGTGTTCCGTTTGGGGCTATTAAAAAATAAAATTTCTATAATCACTTGTGTGCAAATCTTAGTTTTGACACATGCTTTCTTTTCTCTTGAGTTAATGTCTGATAGGAGAATGGCTGAATCCTGTGATAGATTTATGTTTAAGAAATTGTCAAGCTGTTTTCCCATGGTTGCATTATTTTATATCCCCATTCTCACTGTAGGAATGTTTCAGGTACTCTACATATTCATCCATACTGATATGGTCATTATAATTTTAGACATTCTAATAGATGCTGTGGCATCTCACTGTGATTTTAATTTGCATTTCCCTAATGACTGAGATTGAACATTTTTTTAAATCTGCTTATTTTCTTTGGCCAAGTATGTATTCAAATCTTTTGACCATTTTAAAAAATTGGGTTATTGTTTTCTTATTATTGAATTTTGAGAGTTCTTTATATTTTCTGGATACAAGTTTTTTTTTTTTTTAATCAGACATGATTTGCAAATATTTATCCTTATTTGTAGCTGGTTTTTTCATCCTCTTCATTTTCTTATCATAAATGGCAGGGGTTTCTATTTCTGATTAAGTATAATTTATCAATTTGTTCTTTTATGGATCTTGCTTTTGTTGTCATATCTAAGAAATCTTTGCCTTAGCCAAGATCACAGAGACTCTCCTATGTATTCTTCTATAAAGTTTAAAGTTTTGGTTTTATGCATCCAACCTGGGCATGAGACAAGTGCTTGGGGCTGGTGCACTGGGATGACCCAGAGGGATGGGATGAGGAGGGAGGTGGGAGGGGGGTCAAGGATGGGGAACACATGTAAATCCATGGCTGATTCATGTCAATGTATGGCAAAAACCACTACAATATTGTAAAGTAATTAGCCTCCAACTAATAAAAATAAATGGAAAAAAATAATAAAGTTTTGGTTTTATATTTAGATCTGTGATCCACTCTGAGTTAATTCTTGTATTGATAGAAGTTTACTTTTTGCATATGGATATCCAATTGTGGATATCCATGTCTGGTGGCTCAGACAGTAAAAGAATCTGCTCACAGTGGGGAGACCCAGGTTCACTCCCTGGATTGGGAAGATGCCCTGGAGAAGGAAATGGCAACCCACTCCAGTATTCTTGCCTGGAGAATTCCATGGACAGAGGAGCCTGGCAGGCTATAGTCAACGGGTTGCAAAGAGTTAGACATGACTGAGCAACTAATGCACACACATCCAATTGTGATGCACCATTTGTTGAGTGTCTGTTGATTTTTTAGGTATTCTTCTTTGTATTTTTTAAAAAACTATTGCCCTAGGGAGTTTATTATGCATTCTTAGTTTGTCATAGTCCACTTAAAGTAATATTGTACCACTTCATGTAAAATATGAGAATCTTGCCGTAGTATAATTCCATATGCTACTACTCCGTTCTTCATGAATTGTCATGTATTTTGCTTCTATTTATGTTATAAAATCCAAACCAAAATGTTACTATAGTTAATTTAAATGGTCAACTTTGCTTTAAGGAAATTTAAAAAAATAAGAAAGGCAAGTTTGTAAAAATATATCCACATATTTACTAAGAGTGATATTGATTTCTCTTTGTATAATCAAAGTTCCATCTGTTTTATCCAGAAATTTATTAAACCTCATTTATTGAAGGATATTTTCACTGACTGTAGAATTCTAGGTTGACAGTTTTCTCTGTGTGTTTTATACATATCCATATCATTCCATTGTTTTCTGACCTTTGTTGTTTTCTGTGAGTAGTAGTCATTCATAATTCTTATCTTTGTTCCTTGACATACAATATCTCTTTCTTTTCCTCTAAATGCTTTACAATTTATCTTTGACTTTTACTACTTGGACTATGATATGCCTATTTATGATTTTCTTTATGTCTTCCATCAATTTTGGAAAATTCTCATCTATTAATGCTTATTTTTTTCCCTCTGCTCTCACTCCTCTCCTTCTTCATCTCTACTTACACTATGCTAGATCACTTTGTATTGTCCCTCAAGTCACTGAGGCTTCATTTGTTTTTATTTCCAACATTTTTTTCTTCATGTTTAGCAATTTGGAAATTTTCTATTGAGCCATCTTCAGGGTCACTGATGCTCTTTTCTATAGTATCCATTTTACTATTAAGTTTATCCAAGGGATCTTTATTTCATATTTTGTATTTTTCAGTTTAATATCCATTGGCTCTTTTTTTATTTTTTATATTTATTGACTAAGATTCCCATCTCTTACATCACATTTAGTCATGCTTTATTTCATATCCTTAAGGATATTTATAATAGGTGTTTTAAAATCCTCATGTGCTAAATGTAACATCTGGGTCATTTCAAGGTCTGTTTCTATTTTTTCTCCCTTGATTCTTTGCAGATTTAATAATATTTTATTGTATGCTATATGTTGTAAATGATACATTATAGGGAGAATTTGTTGTAGGGAGATGTTGTCTCCCTTTAAAGGGTGATGAGTTTTGTTTTGGTAGTGGTTACATAATTTGCATTGATAGATCTTGATCTAGTCAGACTTTGTTTTAGAATAGTCAGTTACTATTTTTGCCCTAACTCCTGTGGAATGGCTTTTATTCTAGGATATAAATTTTACTAAGAAATGGCTTTACTAGGGTCTCAATTGAATACCTTATGTTTTCACCGACGATATCCACTCTAGCTGGGCCGCAATCCCAAAGTCTCCGAGCTCTGAATAATTGCTAATATCTCTTCAGCTCTCAGCCTCCAGCAGCAGAATTCAGACTCAGTCTCTGTACATGTGCTTCTCAGTTCTTGGCCCAGGATCTGAGGGATTCTCCAGCCAGTTTTCTTAGGCTCCAGCTCTGTATAACTCCCCTTCCTCTGGCCATGCCCCCACACATTCTAGCTGCCTTCAAAACACCTTCTGATAATAGTGGTAATATGGATAGCTCTATCTTGTTTCTGATATTAACAGAACTGTCTTTAGTATTTCATTGCTAGTTTCCAATAAATGCTCTTATTTACAATTTTTCTTTTATTTTTATTTTACTTAGAGATTTCACCATGAATTATATCAATTACTCTTTTACCATATATTGGTATGGTCCTATAATTTCCCCTGAATTTATTAGTGAAATAAATTATGTTGATAAAATTTCTAATTCACATTCTTAGATATCTGTAATAAATCCATCTTTTATACACTGATAGGTATGTTTGTCAATTTTTAAAGCCCTTAACATTTCAATTAACAAAGCAGAATAATAAGTTTTAAAACATAGTGTGCTTTACCAAGAAAAGAAGAAGCACTAAGTTTCAGTCATTTTGTCTTAACATACCAAGACAAGTAAATATAGTTAAAAGAAGTTTGTACTTCATCTCTCTACTTATGTAGTTCCAAATACTTACGACTTCATCTCTCTACTTATGTAGTTCCAAATACTTACGTACTTACTAAGTTCCATTCAGCTTTATAGAAGTATAATTGATGACAATTGCACATTAAAGACTAAGTTGATATTGTGAAGTGAAAAGAATTTAGACTCCTAGGTCTACCTCTTATGAACCAAGTGACCTTGTTTAAGTGACTTACCCTCTCGAAGCTTCGGTTACCTTCTCTATAAGATAGGGGGGTAAACCACACCTATCCTGCAAGATTAATGCTGGCATCAAATGTGGTGATGGATGGGGGTATGTTTTATAAGCTGTAAGTTATTGTTGGTGGCTATTTTGGTTTTTTTTTTTTATTGCTCTATTTCTTTTTCTTCTTTTAAAAATTAAGACTTTAGTATTTTTTAAAGCAGTTTAAGGTCCACAGCAAATTTGAGAGGAAAGTTTACTGAGCCATCCCATATAGTTCCTGCCCCTACACATGCACAGCCTCCCTCCTTATCTACATCTCCCACCAGAGCGGTGCACTTGTTACAACTGACTCACTTCCATCGGTTCATCGTGATCCCCCACAGTCCTTGTTACACTAGGGTTCACTCTTGGTGTTGAACATTCTATGGGTTTAAACAGAAGTATAATGACATGTATCCACCATTATACTATCATGCAGGGTATTTTCACTGCTCTAAAACTCCTCTGTACTCTGTTCAACTCTCTCTATCCAAACCTCTGATAACCACACTGCTGGGTTTTGTTTTTTTTTTTAAGTTATCTCTATAGTTTTGCCATGGCTATTCTTTGTTAGCTGTGGTCTCCAAGGACTGCATAGTTGGCACAGAACATTCCTTGTTAACGAAAGGACTGTAGGGAAATTCTCTTCTGATCCTTGTTGTTACCTGTCCACCACTGGGTTCACTATCCTGGCTGTGGGGCAGGACCCCCCTGTTGTGTTTTGGACAGGCAAAGAAGGGAAGAAGAAATCCAGTCTCATTCCCTGCAAGAGAGAGAAAAAAGGAAAAGGGAAGAGAGAATTCATTGGTGTCTGAGGGGAAAAGGAGGAAAGAAACTTAAAAGAAATACACTTCTGTAGGCTGGGACTCTACCAAAAGCAGAGTTTTTACCATGCCTCCAATATCCCTGTGAGAACTAGGTCTTAGTTTTTCTTAAAGAAACAATGGAAAATGATTTTAACACTCCAGTTCAACTACCTTAACATTTAAACAGATTTTTAGAGGCAGGTTTGGAAACCTAATCACCTAAAGAATTCTGGAAGATTTTTTGTTTGTTTGTTTCTTTTTGTGGGTTTTTTTTTTTTAACGCATTATATATTAAACAATCATACAAAAAACAAAAAACCTTGTAAAGCTGTTTTGTAACTTACCTCACCTTTCTGTCTCTACCCAGGTGCTTCATGTACACGTCATCAGCTCAAGCTCAAGATGCCTAAGCCCATGACAGCAAGCAGTGCTTATGAAGGGTCCTATTGAATGGCTGAAGAAAGGTGATCAGACATCAGAATTTATAGCAGAGAAAGCAGCTGTTCTGTTCTGGAAAGTCATGGAATTGCTTTGGGGTGGTCCTCAAGAAGCAGTCAACAAACCTTCAGGTGAATGTCAGATACTCAGGGCTGCCTGACCCCAGACAATAAGAATAATGGAGGGTTGTGAACAATTTCAGAGTTGAGAGTATCTCAAAGAAAATTCAGTAAGACTATTCTTGGCAAGGTAGCCAAAGTTTTACACGTATAGAAACATATTAAACAAATGTGCACAGATGCCCTTCAACTTGTGACTCTGAGCAGTATAACTATTAAGTTGCAATATTAGGCCTTAAGTACATTCACTTGAACTAATTTAACTTACGTTTCAGATAATGAATCAAGTAAGTTATTGGAATTTCACTCTTCTTATTCTTCTGAATTTAAATCCTAGTTCACCCCTAGGCTTCAGTATTCTTGGAGATCTTATTTGTACAAAATAGATGTAAAGAGAAGCCCTCTATATTTATAACCAGACCAGAGAATAGTCAGTGGTGAGAGACACACCCCTGCTTTAGGTCTGTAATCCTGAAGACAGCTAAAGGAGAAGTTGGTTGATAGGCAGATATCTGTTGATGGTATGATGCACTTAGATCTGCTTTCCATGGGTCATGTTCTGTTTAGCTGGCAGCCTGGTTTATTGTTTTTCAGGAAAAATACTGCAGACATACAGGTATACTTCCATGTTGCTATTCTTCTGGTTTCCACAATCCAGGATCTAAGCTTGCCCTCTGTTTCATTTGTGTCCCTTTAGAGACTCAAAATTGATATATGAAGTGGAATTAGCTTGGGTTGATGCAAAGAAAGGTCAGGGACTTTTCAAAAAACAGTGATGCAAAAAGGGTTAAACAAACCAGACAAACCAAGATGGCAGGAGAAAAGAAAAAAGAAGGGAAGAACTGAAAATGATGATTGATGTTGATGATGCTGGTTTAACTGAGAAATTTAAAGGCTGCAAAACATTGTGAAATCAAATTAATGACCTGGAAAATAAACTCAGATTAAGAAATGTCAGATTGGAGAATAATCTTGATGGGGTAGAAGTAGAAGAAACAATGACAGTTTTTCCCCCATAAAACATTGCAAATCTCCTTTGGGTGAATAATTTTTAATTCCTTCCACAAGCTGTATCTTAATTTCACTAAAGCTTGATGCAATCTGTATTTTATATGTGAAATGAGAAATTCTTACAGCGAAAAGACAAATATCTTAACTTGCTTTGGCCTCTGATGACTTTCTGTTTCTGTAGAGAAGCTGACGGTTACTGGCTTTGATTGTTTTTGATTATATAGGATGAAAATCAAAGTTGTTAAGAGTACTAAACATTATGAGTCAAATGCTTATCTGGCTAACTCCAATTATCATACTTAAAACACATACTCCCTCGAACTATTATCTTGATAAGTATCTTTTCAAGATTGTGCTGAATCAAAAGAATTTTTGAATAGTAAAAAGGAAAGTATTTTAGAAAGGATGAGAGCAGCAAAGTATTTTCTTTGTTCCTGATCCTAACTTGGAGGTTCTCAGAATCAGTCCTAGAGTCACAGAGGGTAAATGGCCTTTTTATTTATGGGACGTGGTATGATGCATCATTATTACACAAACAGTAGATAACAGTTGTTGAACATCTACTCTATGTCTACGCCAGACATCGTTCTAAGTGCTTTATATATTTAAATTCAGTTGGGTTGCACTATCATCCGTGTATGATTAATATCCTCATTTTAAAGATGAGAAGAGTGAGCTTCAGAGTTAAACCATGGCCCCAGGTCACACAGCTATTACAAAAGAGGCTGGACTCATATCCAAGTTATTCTGGCTCCAGAATCCATTCTTTCAACCACAATACTGTGGTTCTGAGTTATTTAAAGACACTAGGATTTTAAAAATAATCTATTTATGGCAGTGAGTATAAAAATATATTCATGTATCCCAGGAATAGTTTTGTTAGCAAGAGAAAATCTCTCTCTCTCTCTCTTTTTTTGTTACCCATTCATTTTAAGTCAGTTTAAATACAAAACAAGTCAAAGTTTTCTGCACTGCCAAAAAGAGTACAGTAAGGTATGGGGCACACAACAGAAACGCATACTTAAAGGGACTTTGTCTTAACTTCCTGGCCTGAAGGGGATCATATTTTCCTTTTTTAAAAAAATATGGAGCTAAATTTTAAAAGAAACTTGATTTTTTGTTTTAATTAATTTTATTTCCTTTGACATGATGGCCAGTTTATTTATTTGATCAAACCGCGAGGCATGTGGGATCTTAGTTCCCTGACCAAGGATGGAACCCATGCCTCCTGCAGTGTGAGCATGGAGTCTTAGCCACTGAACCACCAGGGAAGTCCCCATAATGGCCTGTTGATAATACACAACAGCAGTGATTTTTAAAAAACGCTTCAATTCAGAGCAGAGAAGAAGGAACATGTTTTGAACCATGGAATGAGAAGGTGTGAGTAACTCCTGGGTTACCAGGAGCAGAGAGAAACTCTCAGAAGAAGGGAATGAGTTGGTTACTACATCCCTCACTGCAGTAGGAAGCACGGTGTCTCTCAACATGATGGATATCTCAACACCAGAGCTGGAAAGAGCGTTTTGTTTTTTTTTTTCCACCCAAAGGATAATTTTACATAGTCTCTCAAGATGGTTGAGGTGGCTGTAATGTGGCCGAAGTTTCTCGAAGGATGGAGAGCACACATACAGCAAAACAGAGCAGAGCGACCAGAAACAGAGTGGGAGAGAGGAGCCCCACTTGCGACTCATCCGCTGCTACACCCGCCACTTCTTCTTCCTGCTGTGTGTGGCTCGGTGTTTGCCGCCAAAGCGGAAGAAAGGGTCTTTGTGAGCCTGGGAGCTCAAACAGGTGAGTGCAAAGGCACCTAAAGAAAGAGTGCTAAGAGTTTAGAAAAAATGTTAAAAGCCGTGGAATTCCATCAAAACTCAACAGCATGGAATTCCATCCAAACCACCCATCTTAGACGCCATTGCTGAGAGTCAAAGGAAGACTGAGCTTAGATCCCTACTTTTTACATCATAATTAGGAAAAAGTATATAGCTTCTTTCTTGTTTACAGTGTTTTCTGGCTACAGGAAAAAACAATCTCTCAAGGTTTTGTATGCAGAAAGATGGCTTATATAGCTTTAAGGGTTATTTCTTTTGCAAAGAGTATGTGTCCTTGCAATTTTATTAATTAATTTGTGATATCATAGGTTATGCCCACATTTGATGAGAATGCTGACAGATGAAGGCATGCCTGTACTACGATTTTTGCCGTGGACCACGATCCTAGATTTTGTGCTTGAAGACGCGGACAAAGCAGGTACTAGGTCTCTTGGCAGATATTTTTATTTGTAATTGGGACACTTCTGGTTGCTTCTTAGTGGTGAGGATTAATGCATTGGTGGTGCTAAATAATGTTGCTTGACTTGACAACCTGTGAGTAGAGATTTGAAGACTTGAGTGCTGCAATGAGCAAGGTATTAGTATCACTTCTAATTTTCTAAATTGTGGAATTGTGAATAGCAGCTCTGACTGCAGATTGCACATGAAGACTCTCAAAGGCATTTTACTTCATGTTCTCTGAGATGGTAAAATCATGATAAACTTTATGCAGGTCCCCCAAAAAAGGGTAGAGTTTGGGTGACCTTTTTTTTTTTCAATATAGCCAATATAATGCCAGTTTACAAATGATGAAGATTTAAAACTCCACTGAAGATTTATCTTCTTACAAGGTAAGTTTTATGAATATTTTCCAAAATTATGTGCTTTATGATTTTGTCATAAAGTTAACGTCCATTCATTAAAATATAGAAAATTAGAAGTAAATATGTCTATCTTAAAGAGTCATATACTTTAACCAGTTCCACAAGCAGTGAGAGTAGAAACTGAGTTAGGAACCCAAGAAGTCTGATTTCTGAGCTGATGCTTTCTCTGTGACATCACAGTTTATCGTTTAGCTAATTTAATATTCTTTTTGTTTTGACTTAACATTGTGGCAAAAGTGTATTTGAAGTAAATCTTTCTTAGGGGGAGATAGATCATTCTACCAAGTACCCCACCAGTGTTTTTGAACAGGTAAAAAAAAACTTATGTCAGTGTTCAGGATAAAGATCAAAATGCTAGAAGGTTCGCACTGTGGTGTCTGGACCCTGCTGGAAACACAGGGTATTATACAAAGGCTATTGCATCCCTCCTCACCCCTGGTTGGGGTTTTGCAGGGTCAGTAGGAAGAGGTGATGACCACACCTATCTTTATTTCTAGAAGTCAGAGAACAGCTTGGTAAATTTTATCTGAGGAGATAGAATTTTTAAAATATTTAAATATGTATGTATGTACGCCAGGTCTTACTTGCAACACTCGGGATCTTTGATCTTCACTGTGGCATCCGTGATCTTTTTAGTTGGAGGGTGTGGGATCTTTAGTTGTGGCATGTTGGACCTAGTTCCCCGACCAGGGATCAAACCCGTGCCCCCTGCGTTGGGAGTGTGAAGTGTTAGCCACTGAACCATCAGGGAGGTCCCAAGAAGGAGATAGGTTTTTGTTTCAATATGTATTTATTTGGCTGCATCAGGTCTTAGTTATAGCAAGCCGACTCTTCTTTGCATCATGCGACTCTTTCATTGCTGCATACGGACGCTAGCTGTGGCACAGGCTCAGTGGTTGTGGTACGTGGGCTTAGTTGCCGCATACCATGTGGGATCTTAGTTCCCCAACCATAGGTCAAACCTGTGTCCCCTGCATTGCAAGGTGAATTCTTAACCAATGGATCACCAGGGAAGCCCCAGGAAGGAGGTAGAATTTTTAAGAGAAATATCTAAACCATAAGAGAAAGAAATGGAAATTTGTTTCCTAGGAATTGCTGAAGAAAGAAAGGAGAAAAATCTCCTGTAGCTCACTTGGTTAAAGTGTGTCTTTGCACTCCAGTGAGTGTGTAAGGGGGTCAGTTAGTTGTTTCTAAGCTTTAGATGTGTAAGGGACGGACAGAAGTCAAAAAACAAAGCAAAGGATAAAGAGTAATTCAGCATAATGCTCTCAAAAAGCCACAGCTGAGTAATACTAACACCCAGGTTATCGCAGGACGTGGGTTTTCCGATGACAGGTTTGGGAACCCTCCATTCCTCCTGAGGGTCCCTCCATCTCCCGGGAGGCCTTTGCCCACTGCCACTCTGCTCCCTTCCAGGCAGCTGTTGGCTGTTCCTTCATCTGTTGTTTCTGGGCTCCCCCATTTTCCTCCAGGACATCACTGCACTCCAACAATCATGCACATGCTCCTTGTCATGGATACATCTCCTATGTAGATTTACTCTATAGCTGGTGAAGCACCAGACTCATCTTACAGTTTGTAAATTATGCTTGGATTCAGGCTCAACCTCTCTACCAAAGCTTGTGCAGCTAAGAGCTGCAGCTCACATCACATGCCCTGAGTAACAAGCGATCCCCCCGCCCCGCCCATCACTTGCCAGCAGGATTTGTTCTCTCTGCAGAAAAACATGCATCGCCCCTCGCTGGCAGTCACTTGTTTTAGCACTGGCTAATCACCAGTACTGTTTGTGTTAAGTGAGATTCATAGATGCTGATTGCATTTATTGCATAAATTACTTCATTATTAAAATCAGGTCATTTGAGCCCCCAAACCATTAACATGAAGGTTATTAACATAATTTCATAAGCTAATAAATCAAGCACAGGAAAAGAATTAAAGGGTTCTTGGTGATAAGTGTTTCTTCAGAGATTAAGGAACACAATTTTCTTATGCATATATTAACATTTTATGAGTGGGTTCTCACAAGAGCAGTTTTTTTCTCTCTGCATACGTGACTCACAGTCCATCTTCTTCATACTCAGCCTCTCTGAAACTCATTTTCAAAATTAAGGGTTTTTTTTCCCCCCCTTTTCAAATAACTATAAAGCAATTTTCAGCTGAACCCATTAGCCTTCTGTGATATGCACTGCCTATAAAAATTCTTATCTTTTCACACTTACACTGCAAAAGCCTTGGGAAAGAGGGAAAGCAAGGTGGAAATGGAAGAAAAAATACCTTGGATTTGTCTTAGATAATGCCATCTTCATTCCAGGTGAATTTCAAATATATTCCTAGTCTTAAGAGGTCCTAGTGAAGTTCTAATTATCTCTCTAATTACAACACATACTGAGGTTAAGTGTTCTTATCAAATGGTGCATTAAAAATGGGTTTTATTCCCAGGCTGGATCTAATAGGCTCTGATACTGGCCTGAACACACAGAAACTGGTTCCCTCGTTCATTTCACTCACCAGATTGTGAAAGACTCTGTGGGTCAGAGCCATCATTATCCAGTGCAATGATGTTGCCTAGAAACGAAGAGAAGTTCCAATGTAAATCTGACTATAACAACTTTATCCTGTGTGCAATTTGTGTAATGTTTTTAGCAAATAGCAACTGATGGATCATAATTGAAATACGTAGACTGTTGTTAGCAAGCATTACTTGTGATTTTATGGGTGAACTGGGGAGATGGGTGGGACCAGTGATTCTTTCTAAGAACAAGTATAGTGATCACATCTTTCCCTCTATATCTTCAGTGACTATGAATATTCCCCTGAATAAAGCACAAACTCCACCCAGACCTACTCCTTCCCACCTGCTTAAAACCTTTCAACAATATCTCATTGCTCATTGGTTAAAAAAAATTTTTTTTTCTCAGCATGGCCCACAAGCCTCATGTGATCTAGACTGTCCTTATTGGTCCAACCTTGTTTCATAGCTGGCTTTCCTATTCTGCTTGCTTAAGTGTTTATAAGCACTTTCCCCCTTTCCATCACAGGGCCTTTGCACAGGTTTCCCTACCTAATTATAATATTTTCTGCTCTCTGAACCCATTGATTTCTATTGATTCTTCAGATTTCAGCTCAAGAATCACCTGGTCCAGGAAGGCTTCCTTGACTTTTATGATTAGGTCAAATTTTTACTGGTTTTGATAATACCATGAGTTGCTCAATTAGATGTTAGCACAATTGCCATTTTAAGGTTTCTAGTGTGTATTCTTCCTACTATAAACACGTTTACATGGTGAAAAAAATCAACATAAAAAAAGATGTATATTTAGCTATCTGGCTTCGATTCTTGTTCTCCTTTACCCCACAACCTCTCCTTTGAGAGACAAATATTTTTCTTTATTAGTTTCTTATTTATCTTTCCAATATTCCTTTTTTGCAAGAACACATACAAATACATATCTTGTTTCTCCCCCATTTAACACAAAAGATAAGATACTTTATGGGAAGGGAATAATGTTGAAAGGGAAGGAAGTATATAGAGGCTAGAACAGGCAGGAACAGAAAAGACTATTTTTTTGTTTGGTTCTACTTTCAACTTTTTCTTTTATATTGGAGTATAACCAATTAACAATGTTGTGTTGGCTTCAGGTGGATAGCAAAGGGACTTGGTTTATATATATATATATATATATATATATATGGTGTGTGAATATATATATATACNCCCTGCATCAGGGTCTTTTCTAGTGAGTCAGCTCTTTGCATCAAGTGACCAAAGTTCTGGAGCTTCAGCATCAGTCCTTCCAATGAATATTCAAGGTTGATTTCCTTTAGGATTGACTGGTTTGATCTCCTTGCAGTCCAAGGGATTCTCCAGAATCCTCTCCAGCACCACAGTTCAAAAGCATCAGTTCTTCAGTGCTCAGCCTTCTTTATGGTCCAACTCACACATCCATACCTTATTTAGGGTTCCGTTATTCACAGCCAGACCTAATCCTAACTGAATAGACTCATAGAAAAGACCTGGAGAATTACTAACAGCCCTTAAACAAGACCCACATGCTGTGTCTGGATAATAATAATTTTTTCTAAAAAATCTTTACAAGGGAGAGGAAGATCAAAATTTTATGTCAAAGGGCATGTTCCCTTTATATGCCCATAATGCAGTTCAAAGATTCTGGAAGGGCAGGAAGTACCAGGGAACTAAGCTCTGAGCAAAAGGAAGCCCACAAAGCATTAAGGAAGCGGGGATGTGACACACACTGGCATTTTGGGCTCTCAGAAGCCGGGCTCAAAACGTGCAAGATGTGGCATGGTATGTGTCAACCATGGAACTGACTTTGGTTAATGGTTACTGACATATTAAAATCACTTTATATTAGTAGTGATGATATCTCTCCTTATTTAAGCCACTCTTGGGAATTTGAAAGGAGACAGCCAAAAAAACTCCAGGCCGGCATGCTTCCACCGAACAAACTACCCAAGGAGTTTCCTGGTGAAAATGCAGTGACGTGCATGTTGTATACAGGAGACAGATTGAGCTTGGGGAAGGAGGGTGACTCTC